GGATGGATGGATGGATGGATGGATGGATGGATGGATGGATGGATGGATGGATGGATGGATGGATGGATGGATGGATGGACAGACGGATGGATAATTTGATGGATGGATGGGTTATATAACTATGCCTCTTAGGTGCAGTTTGGAAGGAAACACATAGTCAGACACACAGATTTAAAGGGGTCATAGAATGGAAAACAGAGTTTAAATTGTCAACCATAGTTCAGTGGGTGAAATGGATGTATAGAGAAGTTAAAACCCCATCGACACCTCCTTTCTCTGCAAATCTCACAATTCTAAACTTCCACCATAAAACAGGCAAATTGAAACCAAGCACCAAATTTATGTCAATTCGGGGATGTTACCTTCTTTGGTTGTGGCCTGTACTTTTACAGACCAGCCCACTGGTTCATTGGCGGGGGGTATGAAGTGTCGACTGCTGGGCCTCAGCAGAGGAGGGGGGCTGGCGGCTGGTAACAGAGTCTCCCGGGAGTCTCCTTGATATAGATAGTTGTTCATGGATGCCGGTGAGTTAGATTAATTATCCCGGATTTTAGACTATGTGAGATGCTTGCACTGTAGTCGACCAAAATCCTGGACAATTTTGAAATTCCACCCGGACATTTTTTTAGGTATGAAAAGTAGGACATGTCTGGGAAAAAAGGGACATCTGGTCACCCTACCATATCAACAATCAATGTTTCAGTGAGTAAGTGCTTGTTGCTATGATGCGCCTTTGCTCAGCAGCTTCGCTCATTGTAAACCAACCAATCAGTGCACGGCTCATCTAAATATTCATGAGCATACCATAAAAGGAAGAAAACCTGTTGTTTCATTCTGGGGCTTTTAACCAGGCTTTCATTAGGGCTCATAACAGCAAACATGCCATTTTCAGCCCAATCAATGTTACACACCCTATTCAGTGACCTAAAGGACCAGAACCAAATACCCTATATACTCATTCTATGACCCCTTTAAAAGTTTGCTAATAAACTCATTTCTTGTTTTTTTTCAAAGAACAAAATCTTTGTCTCAACTAAATTAGCTTTTGTAACTCTTATCTTGTTTTTCTCTCCTTCCAGTTTTCTGGCACTAGTGTGGTGGTGGACATTGCGGTAATGGGAGAGGCCCACGGTTTGATCTCAGATCTGCTGGCAGACCCCTCCCTGCCCCCGAACACCTGCAGCTCTCTGAAAGCTGTCAGCAATCTCCTCAGCACCCAGATCAACATCCAGCCGCTCCATCGACCTCGCATCCTGACAGATCCCCACGTCTGCTCCGACTCAGAGGACGGAACAGAAAAAGGAGACAGATTGGCCATCCCAAAGGTAATATTTGGCTTCTTTTTAAGAATTACAAGATGCTAGTTAGGGCAGAAACACACTGCATGTGTCTGATTCTACAAGCCCCAATGAGTTTTGTTAGTTTTTCTCTTTCATGCGTAGGGGGTCCCTCTACGGACCACCAGCTGCCTGAGGTCAAGTATTCACAGGAGAGTATGTACCGGAAATTCCCGCAGCATTTAAATGATGGGCAGTAAATGGGAAGCTGCAGTTGCTTTCTTATCATAATTGGTTTAAATTCCTTAGAACCCTACACAAAGAGGTTTTTGCAATATTAGATTTAATTATGACAATTTAATATTTTTTTCTGAAGCAATATAAAATTACACATACCATGCTGTAAAATGTTTTTGCCCCGTAAAAGATTGCCTTTTTTTTTGCTGATTTCTTCTATTTTTACTTTTTTGCAAACATAAATATTTCAAGTCAAACTTAATTTGCCTTGAGACCTTACACTTGTTAAGAGTATCTGGATAAGTCCTAAGAGTTTTATTGGGGTTATGGACACCTTATGAATATTTACGGATTACTTTTTGAGAATAGCTGACTTCAAAGTCTTTGCTTTAGGTTAACACCATGTACCCCATATTGTTTTAGGGTGAGCAGCCAAAGTATTAAAGTTTCTGTTGGAAATCTATTCTTAACAGAATAGCCACTGTGCTGCAATTCTGCCTGCATGGAATACAGCTTTTTTTCCTCTTAACACATAAAAGCAAAGAATCCAGAGAGACTTTGGAATATTTGACAGATTTGCCTGCATGTGCCTCTAATGGACAAGCTGGATCCCAGATGGTTTTATTTTGATATATCACCAAAAATGTTTTCAATTGAAAATGTCCAGTGTTGTACAGTAAAGCAGGTCACATGAAAAAAGGGAAACGTTATCAGTTGCTTTAAATCTGTCCATCCTTTAGTGTGTCTGTCCTTGCAATCATCCATACACCTGTCCTGTTCTTCATCTGTCCTACCATATGTTCAGTTACTTATGGTAATCAGGGACAGCTTGTATTGACATTAGGAATTGAAAAATCTAATCCTGAAAAACCAAACACTGAAAATTCCGACATTGAAAATTCAAGCATTGAATCATTAAAAATCACAGAAAATTCAAAATTCCTTCTAAACAGTGAAACCTTAAGATGGTACTGTCATTTTTAGCTGCAGCATTTTCTGTGATGAGTGATGATTTTTGTGTCACTGCAGAGTTCCTTCAGCATTTATGTCAATAAAAGCTGGCGATGTTTTAGCATCAGAGGGCGGGGCTTTATAGAAAGCTCCCTCAGGATCCTTCATTGAACCAGCTCCATAGCTAACATGCTTCCATTGTCGTTCATTTATATATATTTTATATATAGATATACCTAAAAGATAATAACAAAATTAATACCGTTACTTGTAGTTGAGTTGCCTGCACTCTGACCAGAGTCCTCCATTAGTTTACCCCAGGTAGATAATGAGGACTACCGAAAAAACTGAGGACCCTGAAGGAGCCTTAAGTATAACAGTGCCAGCTAGAAGTGTCTTCATAGCTGGAGGAGAACTGCAGTGACACTGAAATCATCCCTCATTGAGAAAATGCTGCACCTAAAAATCACAGTATTGTAATAAATTTTGAATTTTCAATGTTTGGTGTTTCAGTATTAGACTTTTCAGTGCCAAATCTGAGGTTCGAAGTTACTGATTTCATGTAGCTGTGTAGCATTTTGTCTTTGAGAAGCATAGGTGTTTGGCTCTTGTTTATAATGTTCTAGACTTTGGGGTCGTCATGTAACTTACTGCTATTTGTAAAATAAATCCTCAGCTATTCTATAGTTAATTATTCTTACCTCACAACTAATAGCGAAGATGCCTAGAGAGAAAGCAGTGAGAGATGTCAACAGCACACCTTCGGTTTGTGTCATTTAATCAGCATGTACCGTATGTTGAGATGAGACATTTGTCAGATTCTACAAAACAATCTCATTCTTATGTCTTTTTTTTGTATAGGGATCTAGACAAGAAACAAAGAGATGGAATTTTTGGTACTTTGGGTTTTATCCAGGCCTGCCCCTTCCCTGTATAAATTATGCTCGTTGTCGACTTTATTGCAGGGTTAGTGTGACTCTGAGGGCACAAAGGCCTCTAGATGGCTTTATAATGTTTGACCAGGGCCAATGCTTCAAAATGTACACAGGCGTTCAAGCCGGCAAGAACACTAAATAAAGCGTGTGATGTTATACAGAATACCTGGAAAGTGAGGAGTTGCTTTAGGATATGCCTGACTGACCTGAAATGCTTAACACATGTACTGAATCTCAATGAGGAGCAGCTTGATCAGAGCAGTGATTTGGAGCAAGAGGGACAGAGAAGAATATAATGGAGAATAAGATAGAAACAAAGATATACTAAACATATAATCTAAATTACAAGAAATTGACTAAAATCTATGAAATATTGGACGTAAACAGAAAAGAAATGGATAATACAAAACTAAATCCCGCAAACTTATCACAGCTGGATCATGACACGAGGGCAACGATATGTGTAATGGGAAAGCAGCAAAAAAAAAAAAAAAAGACTAACAGGGGGTGCATCATGGGACATCCTCCACAAGTTCAGGCCCATAGCTGTGTATCATAGGAACAGCTCAAGGTCACCTCCCTCAGGCTCTGCTTCCTGTTCCACTTTTAGAAACTCTAGGAACCACAAGGAAATCTGTACTGTGAAAACAAAGTCTGTTTTAGAGAGATGTATGAAACTTTGGGCAATTTGTGTCTGGTTGGAGCTTTTTTGATAACAAGTGAAGAAATGTAGATACAGTTTTTGGACTGAAGCAACAAAACTTGGATATAAAATAACTTTTAATCTAGCCTCTGCTGTTTTCAAAGGTGATCTAGGGCTGCAACAACGAATCGATAAATTCGCTAAAAATCGACTTTTAAAAGCGTTGGCAACGAATTTTATCATCGATTAGTTGTGTTGCGCGATTAAAGCGTCATCCGCCGCCGTCATCATCGCTGCCACTTGATTGAAGCGGGGGAAGAAAAGAAATACGGCAGAGAGAGCCAGCGCCGCAGGTGAGCA